GTGCCCTGGTAGCGCAATTTGACCGAGGGCTAACGAGGATCGATAGCCCTGATAAGGCAGAGAGGCGACCGGTCAGTAAATCGGATTTTCTCATGAAACATTTTTGCCATACATTCGGAGCGAAGATAAGAAAGTGTCATTAGTCATTTCGTCACCATGATAATTCTACCCCCAGATTGATAAAGACTTTTGCAGGCCAATGCGCGGGCATAAATGGCCTTCTTCGGGGCCGTTGGCGCTCTACCTTCAAAAACTCTCTGAAGAGGGTGATTTATCCCCGAGTTCAGCCCCAACAAAAGGTCAAGACACTGAAGATAAAAAACTACATCTGCCAGATTAATAGGCAATTGGTCAATTGTTCAACGTAGAATCAGAAATGAAAAAAAAATTGTAAGCAACATATTGCTATTCTTCAGAACCATAACTAATACCATAAGTCGTTAGCAGTAACAGAAAAGACTGACCTGCATGTTGTGCTTAGCGGCTCTCTGTCCCATGGATATCGGTCTGTAATATGGTATAGTCCTCCTCCCAAATTCACCCATTGACCTGAAAATAATTCTCTCTAGAAAGTTTTTCACGTATCCCAATGCCCTGCAATTAGAGAAGCCAAGTTCTTGGCCATGAATTCAGTACTAATGGAATCCTAATGAGATTTTGCGAACTCTTTTATCAAACTTTTCCCAGAAAGCTTTTCTAGCAATGAATTAGCGACAAGGTTTGAGTGCGACAATGCCCGCAGTGAATCTACCTTTGAATTCCAGGAACTTAGCAAACCAATCAGTTACGGGACCATCAACTTGTCTTCTATTGAGGGCAGCTTTGAAGCTCAACTGATAAAGGCATGCGGAGCACAGGCGAAGTTCTACTCCTACTGAAACAATCGTTTTTACCTCACGAACCAGCAGCCTCGTGATGAGTTCTGAAGGTCAAATGTTTCTTCTTATCCACGCAGTACTTCGAGAATTTTCGGTGTAGGCGATCTTGGACGGGACTACACCAGCTTATTGGGTTAGCGCAGCGCTCAGCGCTTTTCAGCAGATTACGCGAGCCGTTTAGTGACACTAAAATGTGGCGTGGCAAAGCTCTCGTTGTTGTTGAAGGATTACGATCTTTGGTACCGAGAGAGCAAAAACGACGACTCATTCTTCCAACTGTACTACAACTTTATATTTTTTTATATTTATTTTACTTTAACATCTTTGTCGGGAACAAGGTGTTTTGGTAAATGTTCCTCGGAGATACAACATCGCCTGGGAGAATTCCCGGGTCCTGCTTGTTCGCTGATAGTAAGGAAAACAGTAAAGCAACTTTCATTTTCAAAACAGGATAAATCTCGGCACTCCGGTGTTGTATACAGGGTACAGGGGAGAAAACCTATGACGGTCCTATTCGGTGAGGATGGAGGTCGCATATGGCCTCGAGAGACATTTTTCCGAACCGCCGGAAAACTCTATACAAACATCTTTTCTGATTGTTGACTGAGAAACTCTTTCCCTATGTTCGATGCCATTTTTGAAGGAATTTGGAAGTTTTTTTGATGATAAGGACTCGAAAGCTTCCGCTTAGGTGGTAGGAAGGTTGTGAGAGGCTCCATGAGCCAAATTCTGAGTCACAGTGGAATTTTTTAGGGAGATGGGGGAGGGAGAGGGTTCTTTACTGACACTACTACTTTCACCCATACCGATTACCGATACTTTAACCTGTCCTCACCCCCCCCCCCATCCACTACACTCGACACGGAACTCTGGGAGGTAGTGGTGGAGATTGGGGCCATTCGAAAACCACCAGACCCCACCCGTCTCGCTCTTGGCTTAAGCTGACATAACTAACAACTACCCGCAACCGAGTGATCGTAATGCTCATGTGTGGCTGACTGCCTAAACGTAAGCATCGCTTGAACCTCAGGCATTTTCCTCGAAGTCTTCCGGTTAACAACTTCTTCGGCACAAATACTTCACCTGCAAAGTTAGAGCGCATGCGTGGGAATTTTCAGATGACGGCACGGGTGTGGCTGGAGAATTCTTCCTTCGTTCTCCTATTGCACGTCGCCCTGCTTTCTGCCTTTGAAGGCAAAGTCCGCGATCATTCACCATCACAGATAGTGGCTGAGTGTGCATACAGACGTCAAAAATCTGAGTAACGCGATAGCGAAGAAAAAAAAAAGCAGAAAAACGTTCCTACTGCTCTAAATAGAACCCCATTCTGATCGCGGTTTGTACGCACCCAGTTAACTCCATCTCCAACACTCCATCCTCATCCACCCAGTTGACCCTCCAGTAAGAACTCTACGCGTAAAAGTGACGATTTCCACGCTTTTTCGACCTGCAGCTTCGTTTTCCCACTGAAAAGCAGCCCTTGTAGGCGGGGGGCCTGGAGGCGGAGTCACTGGGAAAAATGAGGCGGCCACTGAACCTATACTGCTTTATAGCGCCGCTCCCCTACAATTTTTTGCCGCGAAACCGGTACAAGGTTGTTCTTCGCGAGACACACTACCCTCTCGACAACATAGTTTCAACTTCTATACCTAATCGCACCGTGCCTTAAACATCACATCAAAGGAATGAAACAATGTGCAGTGGAGATGAGGCAGTCAAGGTGTTTGTTTTGAAGCGTTGGAAGACTGGCGACAAAACTGATTCTAACGCGGCCGCGTTGCGATTCATTTCTGCTGTTTGAACCAGGAGTATGAAAAATTGTTTGAGAAACTGTATAAAATCGGATGCATCCAAAACAACACGGTGGAAAAGTTGAGTAAGTTGGAGAAAGTCTCGAAGCGAAAATGTGAAAGCGAAGCTACTCCGCGAGGGTTCTTAACTAATTTTGGGTCTCTCGGGACCATCAAAGCTAATATCATAGGGAATATCTTCACCAACATTTCTTCTACCTCTCCCTTATTGCAGTACCCACATAGGGGGGGGAGGGATGGGTGAGGCTCATGTCTAGTCTTCACGTTGTTTTTTGCAGCCCACATTTTACAAATGTTTCTCACTGTCAATATGACAACGCCGACGTGTCACACTTTTCAGCGTCATTATTGAGTTTTCCCCTAAGAAAGGACTTTTGTTGAAATGTCGGTGAAACTGTGGGCTGAGACTGTCAGGCTCGTTGAGTAAAACTTCCTTGTATTCATCTCACCTTATCTATGTGATCGGAAGGTGTAGGCGCGCAGTTGGAGAGGACAGCAGAGGCACCGGACACGACCGCTCCGATCAGCTCATTCTGTAAAGAGAAACGGATAGAGAATGGAGGATTCTGAGAATGGATATGGGGTGAGAAGAACAATGAGATATGAGGGAGGCGTTAACATATCGAGTGGATTCAGTGACAGATTCGCACCTCAGACCCGCCGCAATCAATCATACATACACAAAGCGTCGTCGTCGGTCGCAGCGTTGGGAACCATGTAGAAATTTGGCCCTTCACGCTGATGAGGACACGACAAATGTTGGGTCGACCCAGCGAGGGGGTCATATTTGTCTTTGAGGAACGTGTTTTTTTTGTTTATTGACTTCTCGAGGTTTTTAAATGCTTTAATTGGGTTTTATATATAACCGCCCTTGATGGCAGTTTTTGGGGAAAACCGGAGAATTTCCCGGAAAAGTAGTAGGCTGGAAACCCTAAGAAGGTGGAGTCGAGAATAAAGTGGGGGGGGGGGTATCGTACCAGAGAAGGAACCTTAGAGGTACAGGCCTAGCTTGCAAAAAACTTTTCGACGTCAGGACGTGGCCGAACGCTGATACATAGTAGTCATCCAATTTTGGAGCAGAAATCTATCAATGCCACCAGATTTTTGCAGGGTCGTATTTGCGAAAAAAAATCGCGGTGTTCTTGACACGCGCATATCATCGTTGGAGATTTCCCAGCAGAGGGTCCTATTTTCCTTGCGATTTTTCATGGTGTTATATATCCCTCCTCTACAGCTCGATGAGGAGGGAACTCGTCGAGCTCTCGATGGGGGAGGGGGTTGTACTAAGCCACTCAACCACCTTCCAGGGGTTTCGCACGGACTCGCCCAAAATCCCCAACCAATTGATGTGCCCTGGCTGGACAGCAAAATTCTCGCGGGAGAACTCGGAAATTCTTGGGGAATTCTGGAAAATCTCGAAAAAGCTAGAATGTTGGGAAAGTCTAGGTAAGTGGTTGGTACAGTCCTCATCATTGCGGACTGTCGGAGGCGGCGTGAGCAGCGCGGTTCGAGTCCGCGTTCGGCTCCCTTGCTCTACCAATGGCGATCGGGTAGAGATCGATTAGGAAGGAAACAACCAATGATGGAAACGACGCAGCTGAGAACCGCTGATTGCGAGACGACAATTGCGGTGATGTTGAGTGTAGGTGGGATATCAGAAAAGGGAACCAGGGGAGAAGGAGTGGGGGAGGGGGGTCGTGTTTTCCACAAATCTGCCCCCATAAACCATAAGCCAATCTTCCCCCATAGTGAAGGCCATAAGCATCCGGTGTTAGTAACCATAATTTTTTTGGCCATAAATCAGTACGATGATAGCATAACAGATGGTTGAGGTGTGAAGCGAATCATTCTCACGGTAAACATGCCATCCATCACCACTCAGCTTCTCGACAAAGGTTCCCTCGTAACCCACAGGGCAGCTTATCCTAACCCATTGGAACACTTTTTCACCCGACAGAAGATCGTTAAAGGCAGTCCGCCATGGTGATGGACTTTTGTGCTAAGGGGGATAACCGGTAGAATGAAGGCGAAGGGAAGGATAAATATGACACGGAGAAAATCGAAACCGACGAAAATAAAAAAAAGAAATACGCGGGAATCAGAAACGAGTTTCCCATAAAAATGTAAGCAGTGAAGAAATGAATAAAAGGTAAAAAGAATGTATAAGAGTAGGGAAAGGCTGCAATGAACGGTAAGAATGATAGAAAGAAAGAGGAAATGCTCTCAGGGACCAAGCTTGATTTGCCGGGCCAGCTGTAGAGTTTGGGCGCCCAATTTGCGGTAAATCATCGCCCAGTAATTAGAAATAATGAGCAAGTTGTCGAGCGCCAATGAATGAGAGCGTATGTCGTCGGAAGAATCGGCCGAGATGGCAGCGAAGAGCCGAGTGGAGTTTTTGAGGCTGATAACTATTAGTTGAGAGACGAATCGGATTGCCGGCCTGGCATAAGAGAGCTTGAAGATCGATGGACATCGCCGCCTAGAGATACATTACACAACAAATTCCTCTCCCCCAGTCATCGCCATCCCGCTCACACGTGCACATTTCTTCCAAGGCTATACTCTCACATAAGACCCCTGTACTATTTGCAGATTTCTTGCGAATTCTCGAGAAAACGTCCCCATTGATTGTTCGCGGCCGGGTTTTCTGGTGGGGAATGGGGTTGTGGTTGGCATCAAGCTGGTCGGCAATAAACGCACATAAACACCACCGTGGGCAGCTGTAACAACTACTCACCCACTGCGTGGTCTAGCCGCCATCGGATACTCCGTGAGGTCTAAAGAACTTGGATGAATGGTCACGTTTTTTGTGGCATTCATAGTCTTTTTGGGGATAATTTACTTCTGGAGCTTGTC